GCCTCGATGATCAACTCCTCGACTCCCTCATCAGAAACAGAGCTTCGAGTTTCAGAGATTCAAATCCATTGCTCGCATCTGAAATTTTATAGCTCTGCTTCACGGGAATGAAGGAAAACTGGAAAGAGACAGGATTAGTCCATCATAGCGTCTAAGATTTTAATCCCAAGAATTATATTGGCTAATCCCATGTCTTTATATATTGAACTTGCTACTTAGTAAGTTCCTTGTTTGACTGATCATGTCTTTTTTTCTACCAATAATGAGCATGTCATCAACGTACAAGCATAGCAAAACATATCTGTGTAGAGTACTTTTGATATATATGCACTTATCACATTCATTAACACTAAAACCATTTGATATCATTACATTGTCAAATTTGTCATGTCATTTCTTAGGAGCTTGTTTTAGTCCATACAATGATTACACAAGCCAAAAGATTTTATGTTCTTGCCCTGGAACAACAAATCCTTGCGCTTGTTTCATATAAATCTCCTCTTCTAACAAAACGTTTTAGAAATGAAATTTTTACATTCATTTGATGAAAACTTAACAGTTAACCCATGCTTGCTTATGAAAGATCCAGACATCAGATTCTTTTGTATGTCTGGAACATGAACCACGCTCGTCAGGATGAACTCAGATCCAGAGGTAAGCTTTAGAACAACCTTTTAGTATCTTTCGATCTTTGAGGTGACACAATTTCCCATGACGAATTTTCGTCACTCTTGTTCTTCGTGTAGTCAGAGAACATCGACCTATCCAGGCAAATGTTCCTGGTTGCACTCATCTTAAACCATCAAGTCTTAGAATGTTTTTATGCAATATTAGCCTCAATTACAATCGTGTACATGTTTGATTTTGCAAGATTGACTTCGTTCTTGCCTTCATTTTTCTTTGAAGCCTGTTTTGCTATGGCCCTCAAAGGATTTGTGGCCCATCTTGCCACAGGTGTGATAGTGTCCAGTGAACTTCTGCAAGCTCTTACCAGATTTCTTCATTTTGAACTACTGCAAGTTCTGTGGTGGGACTTTTCCTTTTGTTTTGAAATTTTCCTTGATTATTGTTTTGGTGCTCTGCCATCTTCGTGTTGGGTTCTTGAATTTGTATACATAATTACTCCAATTTGTCTCTGGTTTTTTGAATCTACATAGAGGTGCACGATTAAGTATTTGAGACTCAACTGGTTTATTTTCTGTTTGAGGTAATTTTTGAAGTCCATACAGCTTGACCAAAGCTTCTCAATGACACATGTGACCTGATAGGTCCCACATAGCCCCATTCTCTCAGCATATATTTCATGAAACTCAAATTTGAAGTTTTGAATAATGATACTTGTTTTACAATTTTTCTTGACTTCTGGAAACCAATTCTTCTACAAAACGCAACAACATATTATAGAGCTCGGAAAACAAGATGAATGAGTGTTTTACGTACGCTCAAGTTAGCAGACAAGAAAAGGAAAGACCATGACTTTTGAGTGTCAGGTCAAAAAATAAATTGGAAAACAAGATAAAAATGGGTTTAAAGACTTCACGATTAAAAAGAAGTTAGATTAACCATATCTGTTTTGTTTAGTAGGCTATCTCAGGAATCAAAACGAAAAATAGGCAAATGATCGGAAAGACGGCAGCCTGTAAAGTGATTGAAAGGATCTTTGACTTTCCTTCAGAGAAATTTGGAGGTGTAGGCTTTAGCGCTAGAGAGATTTCAGAAGTATAAAGTATTTTTTTGGGAGAAAAGTGTTTATCCCATTCTCTCTAGGGAGGAGAACTTATTTATAAAGACTATCTGTCCTAGAAAGTAGATCGTTCTATATCAACGTGTTGGGTTAGGTCTTGCATTATTGGGTTGGTTCGTTGATACTTGAGTCGAATCTCGTAAGAGATGCTTGATTGCGTATCATGTCGCTTATGTCTAGATAGCTGTCTAATGCAACTGTTGATGATGCACTGCTCGTACGCCACTTGGCTGGTTTCACATTGTTGAATCAAGAAGCTCTAGGCCTTGTTGAGTGATATATTCATATATTTTCATTTTTAGGATGCATTTTTGGTCCAAGAATAAAGTCTCATGCATGCATTTTAGATAGATTCTTCATGTTTTGTCTTTGTTTTAGAGTTTTAGGACTTTGCATTAGGTCCAAGTGAGTCTTGCATGTTGGGGGGTGTCAATCAAATACCTTGGAGCTTGTTTGGAGTGAAAAAGATGGAGCCAGTGGAAGAAATGGTGAAAGAAGATGAAGAAATGATGAAAATGGGCATTTGAAGCTTCTCGACCAAAAATCTTACCGCAGGCAGATTTTTATCAGCCAAAAATGCTTACCGGGTAGCTGCTTTCGGCCATAACGTGTACTGTGTATACGTGAGCATTGGCAAAAAATTCCTAATTGCCGATACGCTCAAAAGATGTCCTGAGACGAAGCTCTTCCCAGCCGATTCAGTCTCCATTGTCTTCATCAAGATTTGAGGGAATTGAGGCAATTCTCCAGAAAACTTGGAATCACCTGATTTGGAGCAGTGAGCAGAAACTTATAGCAATTAGGAGAAGAACATGTCTTAGAGCATTTTCCGGATCATTCCAATGTGCCTCAAAGAACAGCCGTCCGGGAAGTCTTTCTCTCCCCGGATGCACTCGAACTCTTCATCAAAGTTTTAGGCAAGTGAGTTAATTTCTCCTGGAGTTAGTGGCGAGTCGTTTGGATCACTGGTTTGGAAGTTACACCTGTTCAAGCACTCACATGTCTCCCTAGATCCTGATGTAACTGTGGAGTTGATGGTGTACAAGTGACAAATATGCCTCGACATGAATGCCACGACCCAATCCAACCCAAGGCATGGCTTAACAACATCCTTTAGGCATGCTTTGACATGAAGTCGGCGACTCACAGACAAGCTGAGGACAATTCCCGAAGCAAATATCCAAGACCTCGAGTCCAGGCCGCGGGTGAGCTTTATGCTCGAGGCAGCTCCTGAAAGAACTTGTCCAATGCCTCGACTTGAGGCCTCAACCTAAAGTACTTCGAGGCCTCATGTTTTTGACTTCACAGAACAAGAAAAGGCCTGCCTTGGCTCATATGCCTCGAGAAGAATCAAGCCGAGGCAACGCATGTTCTTGAGCTTTTACCCAGATTTTTGTGCCTCGACATGCATGCCTCGAGTTGGGAACTGGGACTGGACCTCGAGGCACACCATCCAGGATCCAACAAAGCCGGGTCAGTACCCAGTTTTTTCTGGGCTGACCTGGTCCGAACTCATCAATATAATTATATTTTAGGGTGCAAAAACCCTACGTACCTTTTATCCTCTTTTAGAACTTGCCTCTTTTATGCAAAAATTATCATTTGTGAAGAATCTTCTTTGATTTTAATCAGATTTAAAGCAGTTTCTTTACATCTTATCATCTATTCCCATCATTCAAAGCTTCTAATCATGATTAACAACACATCTTACAAAGGATTAAGTGTGTTAATCATGATTAGTGAGTAGTTCTCTAAATTGAGTTCTAGATATGTAGGTTAAGGTGCAAAATTGTTAGATTAGGGTGCTTAGGACTAGATTTATGTTTTCATTTCTCTAAATAGCTGATCTTAATGCTGGGTTTTAGATGATCTCTCTAACCCAGATCTTAGGCATTTCATCCACCCAAAAAGTGTTTGATGAAATGCCTGGACCAGCTATTCTAGAGGTTTATGCATTACTGCCATGAGAATGTTTATTATATGCATTGATGACATTTTAGGATTGATTTATAATGCTGTCTTATTGTTATGTTTCCAGTGTTGATTGGGTATGAGTAATAATCTGATTTGTGTTTTACAGCTTGGGAAAGTTTCTTGAATCATATTTCATATTGTCATTAGCACCTTGGTTGATCACTAATGCACCTTAGCCAACTATTATGTCTAGAACTCCATGTTTTCATCATTTTCATATCATCATCATCTTGTTATTGCTTGCTTTGTTTTGTTTGATCATTGTTTAGACCTGTTTAGTTTAATTATGTCACTTGTTTGAAACTAAATCACTTGTTTGCTTGGATTAAGATATAAATCTCACAGATTAGTGTACTAAACACCACACTTATGGATTGATAACCCTTTGTGCTACAACAGACAAGGAGAATTGAACCCTCAAGAGCCTTGCAAAACCCTTGTTATCAAGTGGTGTCGTTGCCATAGTGTGGAGATTTAGCATACTCTTTGGTTTGTTCTTGAGATCAAGCTTTTCTTTTTGTTTTACTGATAAACCTTTTAAGTTCTGTCTTTGAAGTTCCAGGTGCATGAGAACAAGATACAGAAGTTGTGTTCTTCTTCTTCCCTACATAGACAACATCAATCTGTGAGAGAGAAGAGGAAGAAGACCAAGAGAAAAGGGTCTAGTTGTGGAAGTGGAACAGCAAAGAAACCAGGGAGAGCACCAGGCTCAAGATGAGATTCAGGGTAATGGAGCTCAGGGTAATGGAGCTCAGGGTAATGGAGTTCAGGGTCCACAGCAACAAGTTCATCAGGGACAAGGGAAAGGGAACCTGAACCAGCACCAGAACAGGCATCACCAACCTCAAGGTGTTGCTAAGAATCAACAACAAGCCCACCCAAACCCTCCCAGGCGTCAGGCTCACCAAGAAGTGAGGAATCAGATCTTTGTTGGGGCCAATGACAGGGCCAATGCTCACCAGAATAAGCAGGGTATCCAAGCTCCAGCTGTGGAAAACAACAACTTTGAAGTTAAAACATCTCTTCTCAACATGGTGCAAAACTCAAAGTTTCATGGGTTACCAATGGAGGATCCTCTAGACCATCTTGAAAACTTTGATAGAGTCTGCAACCTCACAAAGATAAATGGTGTATATATGGTTTCAAGCTGAGACTCTTCCCAATCAGTCTAGGAGACAAAGCAAGACAGTGGGAGAAGAACCTTCCTCAGGGTTTTATTCAGACTTGGGAGAAATGCAAGCAAGCTTTCTTGTCAAAGTTATTTTCAACTTCAAAAATAGCAAAGCTCCGAAATCAGATCTCATCCTTTACCCAACACAACAATGAGACATTTGGTGAAACTTGGGAGATATTCAGGAGCTATACAAACCAGTGCCCTCACCATGGGTTCTCAGAGGCTTCTCTACTTAGCACTCTTTATAGAGGTGCTCTTCCCAAGTTCAGGAACCAACTAGACACTGCATCAAGTGGGAACTTTTTAGCAAAAGAGATCAATGCTGCCATGAAGCTAGTTGAGAATTTGGCAATGAGCAATGATACTTATGGAAAGGAATATGATAGGGCTAATAGAGGAGAAGGCTCTAGTGAGGAGCAAAGAATGAGAAAGGATATCAAGGAGCTGCAAAGCAAGCTAGACAAGGTCTTACTTGCTACTCAAAAGCCTCTGCAATTTGTTGGTGAGTTTGATGGACAAGCTCAATGTTTTGAGAATGTGAATGAAGAGGGGTTAACTCAGTAAGAGCTCCACTATATTGGGAACCAGAACAAGTTCAACAGGTTCACCTGTTACAATCAGAACCTGAGCTATAGAAACCCAAATGTAGCTAATCCTGGAAACCAAGTGTATCCTCCTCAGCAAGTTCAGACCTAGGGTTATGTTCCAAAGAATCAGTTCTAAGAAAATTACCCAGGGCAGCAAGGTTTTCAACAACCAGTAGTTCAGAACCAAGGAAATAGCTTTCCAAATCAAGTTAGTTACCAGCAACAGAAGTCATACCCTCCAGGCTTTGGACAGCCACAGGTTCAACAGGGTACTTCTCAGCAACAGGGTCCAGACATCAGTGGGGTTCTACAATAGCTTCTATAGGGACAACAAAAACTGAATACTCAAGCCAGTGAACTCGGTTCCAAGATGGAGATACTAAAAACCAAAATAAAGACTCTTCAGAAGAACAAAGGCATCTCCACTTCTGAATATCAAAGTTCTCTGCCAGGAAAAGTTGTTCCAAACCCCAAAGAGTATTGCAGTGCCATATACTCAAGTGATGAGAATTCTGTTGCTGTTTAGGAAATTGGATATCTTTTTTATGGAAAAGTCTCTAATGAGTTAAACCCCAACACTAAGTATGAGGACGCCATTATAGAAGACTCTGAAAACCTGTTTTATGATCTCAATGAGGACATTGAGATAGAAGGTGGGGAGGCAGCTAGTTTTGCTATGAAGAAGAATGCTCTTGAGATTGCTGAAATCAAGGAACAGGAAAGGGTTCAAGCAAAGCAAAAGATGGAGTCTCTAGCAACGATTCAACAATGGTGAAACCCAATTCTATTCCCAATCTAGGTAATCCAGGAAAGTTCTCCATCTCATGCTCTCTTGGAATTTTGAAAGTGGATAATGCTTTATGTGATTCTAGATCAAGCATCAGTGTAATGTCTTTAGACATGGTGGAGAAACTAGGGATCAAGACTCTAAAGCATCACCCCATCTCAATTACCTTTGGAGATTCATCCTCAAAGAAGCTATATGGAATTTTTGAAGATTACCCACTAAAGATTGGTGAATGCATAGTTCCAACTGATTTTGTGGTAATGAAGAAGAAGAAGACCAAAGAGCTTCCTCTCTTGCTTGGAACTCCTTTTCTAAACACCACATAAACAAGGATTGACTTTAATACTCAAAGATTGGTGCTTACAAAGGTAGATGATGAAGTTTTCTATCCTCTTAAGCCTCCTCTTGCTGGGTTTTTGTGGAGTTATATCTGAAGATGTTGATGAGTTCAAAGACTATGAGATGAAGTATAAGGGGAGTATTGGAACTATAGAAGAAGCTAAACCCCTAGAAGCTGTGGAGTAGAAGAAAGAATCCCTAATAAGACCTGATCTTGAGTTTGAAGGGAATTTCTTTAGTAAGGATGAAGCTTGCTCTAACTCTTTGCCTCCTAGACCAAGTGAGAAAGAGCTGAGTAACAACAAGGGCAATGGTTCAGGATCCAAAAAAAAGAATCCAAAATGCACCAAACCATTCACCCTTGGATCTTCTTCTCAAGTCTTAACTCTCACTCCTTGGAAGTTTGATGGTGGAGCTGTGGACTACAAGGTTAAAGGCAATGGAGGATCAAGACCATTTGCCAAAATCAGAGAAATCCTCACACCAGAGTTCAAGGATAAGGGATCTGATGGTGTTCAAGAGCTGATGAACAAGGTTCTTAAGCTTGAATTCATGGACAAGACAAGGAGCATCAATGCTCCTCCTCTCCCTCACTAAGAAAAGAGTATGAAAAGTCAAACTTAGTGACTTAAAACAAAGTGCTATTGGGAGACACCCCAAGCTTATCCTTGTATAGTCCTTTAATCTTTTATTCTGTGTTTTTAAAACGTTTTTGATGTGTTTGTTGAGTGCTATCAGGTCATAGATGGTGTTTTTGCTATGAAATCCCAAGAAAAGGAGACCAAGGTGGTGAGAATGAAGCATACGGCTAAGTGCTTGGGTATGCCTCGCCTTGTGGCCACGACTTCAAATCTACTCGAGGCATAGATTATTAGAAACCATTTCTCAAGAACCATATGCCTCGAGTAAGATGCCACGGGCTGATACAGGCCGAGGCAAAATGCCGAATGAAAACAGCAATCACCTTGGCATGAGGCCACAAGGTGGAACAAGGCAAGGCGAGGATGTTTTGAGAAGACTAAGAATGTGCAAATTTGCCTCGAGTGGATTGCCTCGGGCTAGGACATGTTCAGGCATGTTGGAATAGGAAGGATCAACCCAGAAAGTGAAGCCTTGACCAAAATCAACTCGAGGCGTGTATGCTTCCAAAGCCAAGAAATTTTTTCAAAACCTCAAGTTATGGCCGCGGGTGGATCCAAGGCGAGGCAGGGTTGAAAAGATGAGTACAAACCCAGAAGATGTTGCCTGGGGTTGATGAAGAACTGACCAAGGCGAGGCAGCAAAGCGAGGAAAGGTACAAAGGTGCAAAAGCAGGCTTTAACCTTCACTTCAAGTGCATTAAGATCAGTGAAACAAGCAGCATCGAAACAACAACACTTCCAATGATTTTTGGCCGCCTAAGATGCACAATTCCACTCCTCCATTCCATCACAAACACATCTGGTAACACTCCAAACTTGTACATAGCATTCAAGCATCTAGTTTTTCTTTTCTTCTTAGTTTTTTTTTTCATGTTTGTTTATCCTCTTTCTCATGCTTTTATTACACAGAGACTGTGTAATTTAAGTGTGGGGGAGGGGTTTAGTGTTATCTAACCTTGTTTTCTATATTCTTATTTTTTCTTTTGCATTTTGAGTCTCATTTGATAATGCATAGCATCTAAATGCATAGAAAAAAAAACCAAAACAAATTTGAAAGTTTTCACACAAAAAAATGTGCATTCACATGTTAGGATTGAGTCTAGAGTTACATAATCATATAGGTTTGCATCGTTTGCATGGGAGTAATGATATGTTTCTTTGAGAGAGCATTATTTTAAGAGTTTAGTTCATGGCCCTAGTTATTAGTTCTTTGATGCTTGCACGTGATGAAATGTGTAACATTGTTTAGGCCTTAGTTGAAACAAGCTTTGAATTGAACTCAGCCTTAGCAAGTGGAACTTTTAACTTGTGATGCTTGCTTGAATGAACTTGTGGATAGTTATCCATATTTGAGCTGAAACCCATTTTTACTACTCTCTTCCTTAGCTCAAATAGCTGATTTCCATCATTGAAACAGTTTCCACACCCTAAACCCAACCTTCTTTCAAGCCAAAACTGTTTGTGAGTGTTGAGAGGCCACCTTGGATCAAACTTAGCAGAAAATGTTAGGTTTAGAGCGACAAGGGTGAGTTCTCATGATATTTAGTTCCACCATCAAGGGACTAATAGATCATGGAAAGGATTGAGTGTAGGGGAAAGGTTTGTTGGTGAGAGCTTAAAGGAGAGAAATTGTTTGGGTGAGAGAAGAGAGATGTATGGAAAAATGGAGAGTGATGAGAGCTAGGGGATGGAAAAGAAAAGAAAATGGATTGGGGTCTAGTGTTCAAAGAAACGAAAGCTCTAGTGTTTTAAAAAGAAAGTCCAGCCTCTAAGTGAAAAGAAAGAAAGAAAAGAAGCCAAAAAGGCTCAAGTGTCTAGAGAGATAAGAAAAGAGGCTGGACAGTGCTAAGTGAAAAAGAGCTAAGTTTAAAGTTTAGACCCCAAAGCCAGTGTTTGTAAATGAAGATTGAATCCCCTAGTGAGAAAAAAATGAGTGAGAAGAAAAGTGTGAGGTTCATGTGAGGGAGGTTTAAGTGTGAGACTTTGGGTTAGAGGCATCTTAGGTATTAGGGTTAGATGAGTTCTTGCCCTTGTATGCATTGGTTGCTTTTTACCTTTAGCATTCTGCCAAAGTTTGATCGTTCAAAGAGAGATCCCTTGAGCTGAACTGAACCCACCTATGCATTGAATGGAATCATATTCATCTCATAACCTCACCCTTAACCAAACTAGTTTGTCTAAGTAAGCATCACTTTGATCCACCTGGTTACAAGTTAATGAATGTTAAAAAGCTGAAGGATAAGAGTGCTTGTATAGATCATGGCTTGAGCTTGTTGCATTCGGAGTATTCCTTGCATTGCATTTCAGAACTAGTAACTAGGGCCATGAGCTTGAAATCTTTTAATGATCATATCTCTCTTTAAATACATGTGAACTCCCAAACTCCAAACCTCTCTCTCATTTGTTTTAGTTTGCTTGAGGGCAAGCAAAGAATAAGTGTGGGGGAGTTGATATATTCATATCTTTGCATTTTAAGGATGCATTTTGTCCAAGAATAGAGTCTCATGCATGCATTTTAGATAGATTCTTCATGTTTTGTCTTTGTTTTAGAGTTTTAGGACTTTGCATTAGGTCCAAGTGAGTCTTTTATGTTTGGGATGTCAATCAGGTACCTTGGAGCTTGTTTGGAGTGAAAAAGATGGAGCCAATGGAAGAAATGGTGAAAGAAGATGAAGAAAAGATGAAATGGGCGTTTGAAGCTTATTGACCAAAAAGCTTACCGCAGGCAGCTTTTAATCGGTCAAAAGTGCTTACCGGGTAGCTCCTTTTGGCCAAAATGTATACCGCTGTACGTGAGCATCGGCCAAAAATTCCTGATTGCTGATACGCTCCAAAGATGTCCTAATATGAAGCCCTTCCTA